TGCAGGGCCCAAGCACTTGGGCCATCCTCCACTGCCTTCCCCGGGCCACAGCAGAGAGCTAGACTGGAAGAGGAGCAACCGGGACAGAATCCAGCACCCAACTGGGACTAGAACCCGGGGTACTGGCGCCGCAGGCGGAGGATTAGCCTAGTGAGCTGTGGCGCTGGCTCAGACAAGATCATCTTTTCAATGAATATGCCAACTTGTATATCATTTCCTCTGCTGATGGTACCTAAATCATCTACTCCTGCAATCTCACTTGCAAACCTGAAGCAGGGAGTATACTGTATGCATCTGCTCATGAGGTCTTTATGAATGACCCAGTGTTCTTGTCCTCCACAGCATGTTTCCCCGCTAAAAATTGTCTCCTATAACTTCCAAACATCATGGATTGGTCCTACACATCACATTCACCTCCTTGGTCACAAATTGGATAGTCCAGTGGGTGATTTGCTAATGAGAACACCATTACACCTTCTCAGGTTTTCTTATATTTTATGAAGTTTTTCAGGTTATTCCAACACTTCATTAGTGGCATGACACATGCAGGAGCTTTCTCAATTTCAACAAAGCACATCCTGCAATTTCCAGCAACAGACAGCCTTTTATAACAGAATCGAGGTAGCTGCATGCCAACTTTCTCACAAGCCTGGAGGATGGTAGTTGCTGGTTCCACAATGACAAACTGTCCATCAATAAATACTTCAATTAAGTTGCTTGTAGCTGTGGCAGTTGTCCAAACAAATCCATTAGGAGACTTAGAAAGGCCTATTAAGGCTCTTCTTTTTTTTTTTTTAAAAGATTTATTTATTTATTCGAAAGTCAGAATTACAGAGAGAGGAGAGGCAGAGGTGGGGGTGGGGGGAGAGAGAGAGGTCTTCCATCTGATGGTTCACTCCCCAATTAGCCATAATGGCTGGAGCTGCACCGATCCGAAGCCAGGAGCCAGGAGCTTCTGGGTCTCCCACGCAGGTGCAGGGGCCCAAGGATTTGGGCCATCTTCTTCTGCTTTCCTAGGCCATAGCAGAGAGCTGGATTGGAAGTGGATCAGCCGGGTCTTGAACTGGCGCCTATTTGGGATGCTGGTGCTTCAGGCCAGGGCATTAACCTGCTACAGACATGTTTTACATGTTGCTTTTCCCCAGAGCTGCTGAGACTGCTCTATTGACCTGTCTGGACCACACCGACCCATCCTGGGCTGGGTTTCCTACTCAGTATCCCTTCTAGTTTCTTAGATAGGAGATGAAGTCATTGATTTGAAAGCATTCTCTATTTCCATCATGAGCTTGTAGTGCCATAAATTTCCCACCAAGTCCTACTTTATTTATTTGTTGTCAATTTCAACATTCTTTTTTTTCCCCAAAGAAACCTTTTATTTAATGAGTACAAATTTCATAAGTACGACTTTAGGAATATAGTGATTCTTTCCATTGTACCGCCCCCCTCACTCCCACTCACCTCCTCCCTCTCCCATTCCCAGTCCCATTATCCATTAAGATTCACTTTTAATTAACTTTATACACAGAAGACCAACTCTATACTAAATAAAGATTTCAACAATTTGCACACACACACACACACACAGAAACTGTTTGAGAATGTTTTACAGTTAATTTTCATAATACAACTCATTGAGGAGAGAAGTCCTGCATGGGAAGTAAGTGCACAGTGACTCCTATTGTTAATTTAACAATTAACACTCTTATGTATGACGCCAGTGATCATCCAAGGCTCTTGACATGAGCTACCAAGGCTATGGAAGCCTTTTGAATCCACAAACTCCATCAGTATTTAGACAAGGCCATAAGCAAAGTAGAAGTTCTCTCCTCCCCTTAGAGAAAAGTACATCCTTCTTTAATGGCCACTTCTTTCCACTGGGGTCTCTCTCACAGAGATCCTTCATGTAGGACATTTTTTTGCCACAGTGTCTTGTCTTCCTATGCCTGAAGTACTCTCATGGGCTTTTCAGCCAGAGCAGAATGCCTTAATGGTTGATTCTGAGGTCAGATTGCTATTTAAAGGAATTGTCATTCTGAGTCTGCTGTATGGCCAAGTCCTACTTTAACAGAATCATATACATTCTGTTTTAATTAACATACAGGTCAAACTAATCTGTAATTTTCTTCTTTATTTCTTCTTTGATTCATGGATTATTTAGAAGGGTGTTGTTATTTAAATATCAGAAATTTCTAAAGACTATTGTGTTTCTTATTTGTAGTATAATTCAAATATGGTCACAATGTATTTTGCATGATCTTACTGTTTAAATTTATTGACTTATTTTATGGCCCGGAATATGATCTACCTTGGTAAATGTTTCATGTGCACTTGAAAATAATATGTGTTTTGCTGTTTTTTGTGGCACAGTCTACAAATATGGCAGACCATTATCAATAATCTTAACAAAATTTCTACTGTTATGACTTTGAATTCCTTATCTCTTCTCCTAGAATATCTAATCTGTTATTAACTTTGTTTATCTCAGGTGTTGTAGTTTTCTGATTTCAATATTTTCCATATCTCAGCTTAACTTTTAAAAATATGGAAAATGGTTATAAAAAGTATTTTAATATCTTTCTCTACTAATTCTAACATCTGTGTCAGTTTTGCATCAGTTTCAACAGGTTATTTTTTTCATTAAAAGTAATATTTTACTGTTTGGTAATATTTGATTAGATACCAAAAGTTATAAATGCCAAGTGCTGGATATAAATGTATCCTATAGATATCCTTGAGTTTTTTCTGGGATGCAGTCAAATTATGTGGCAACATGTTGATCACCCCAGCTTTTGCTTTATGATTTATTAGTTGAGTCTAGAGTAGTTAGTTCTTTTCCTATATGCCTTCCAGGAGAGGTTTCATATTACTACTTTAGGTGGTTCTTACCCTGGTAATTTCCTTATAAGCATGACTGATCAGTACTTCACTCAGTAATTAAGGGATATCCTTTGCAGATCTCTACTGTTCTCTCTCAGTGGAGTTCTTTTTTCCTTGGAACTCTATTTCATGAACTCTAGCTATGCTGGTTTTCTGGCACTCTAAACTCCATTTCTTCAACTCTGCAAGTCCAACAAGCTCTTAGTTGCCCCACATCCTGTGTGCTCCATGTGCCACATCCTGAAAAGTGTTTCCAGTCACATCTGGGGCAATTAAGGGGCAAATTTTGTTTTCTATTGCTTAGGAATCATAGCCTTGACAGCGTGTTGAGAAGTTGCTTTACATATTTTGTCTCTTTTTGGTTGCTGCTTCACATAGTAGAGTATATTTATCTATTACTTGACCTATAGTGGTGTAGCAATATCCTCTATGCTTTCATAAGACTTTTAAGAAAACTGTTGTGTATGTAAATTTTTTTGGCACCCAAATCTGGCATATTCTTAGCAACATGGTGCTCTACTGCTTTTTCATCAAATCTTAAGCAGGAATCCCTATTATTTTCCAATTTCAAATTCAAATTCAGGTGATCAGTCTTAGTAGAAAACAAATAAGGGTCAGCAATTCTGCAATTTCTTTGATATCTATACAAATTTTTTTTGTCTCAAGCTTTAAGACAATATATTTATCATTCTTGTTTCTGCCTTTAAATGAGAGGCAATGGAAAATAATGCAGAGATACATGTTTTAGTTCTCTGAAATCATTTTGGAATATTTTACCTTCTCTTTGCCAATCTATATATTTATTGTTTATGCTCTCATCTTTTGTTTATTTTATTTTTAAATCATTGATTGTTAAAGAATGGGTTATTAAATTTATTTTTATTCTTCCTTTTGTATTTCAATGGGAGTAGAGTTGTAGAATGTTTTTTTTAGTCTTTCATTAGGCTTGTTATATATGTTTGGATACAGAATTATCATCAATGTTTATATAGTTCTTTTTAATGAAGAATGTGGTTTACTGTCATTCCCAGTTATGTTTGCATTCTGTTTACATTATATTAGAGAACATCTGCCACAATTTTTGTATTCCATTATTTAGCTATGAGGCAATGCTTTTTTTTATTTTCTCTCTCTCTCCCCCCCTCTCTGTTTTTCCTAAAGAAGGATTCCACCATTTTTACTCTCATGTTTAAATATTTTACATTTTTATAAGAATTTATTCATTAATTTATTTGAAAGGCACACAGAAAGGGAAAGAGGGACAGAGGGAGGGAGGGAGAAGAAGAGGAAGGGAGGGAGGGAGGGAGGGAGAGAGAGATTGATTGATTTTATTTTTTTAATAAATAAACCTTTTTAAAAAAAGATTTATTTATTTTATTTGAAAGGCAGAATTACAGAGAGGCAGGAGAAGAGAGAGGGAGAGAGGTCTTCCATCTGCTAGTACAATCCCAGGTGGCCGCAACAGTTATGCTGATCCAAAGCCAGAAGCCAGGGGCTTCTTCCAGGTCTTCCACGTGGGTGCAGGGCCCAAGGACTTGGGCCATCTTTGACGGCTTTTCCAGGCCATAGCAGAGCTGGATTAGAAATGGAGCAGGCAGGACTTGAACTGGTGCCCTATGGGGTGCTAGTACTGCAGGCAGTGGCTTTACCTGCTACGCCACAGAACCAGCCCTGAGAATGATTTTCTATTTGCAGGTGTATCCCTCAAATTCCAGCAACTCAGTCTGGGCCTTGCTGAAGCCAAGGGCCAGGAACTCTGTTTAGGTTTTTACGTGAGTGGCAGGAATCCAAGTACCTGGACATGACTTATTGCTTCCAGGCAGATTAGCAGGAAACTGGATTGAAGCTGAGGTATTAGGAATCAGTCCCAGGACTCTGATCTGGATTGTAGGTATCCCAATCCCAAGTGACAGTTCCACCTGCTGTGCCATAATGCCTGCCCCTGCTTCTTTACACAAGACAATAGTCTATCCTCACCTTCTATTTTCACATATCTCATTTATTTCTTATGGTAGAGGGAGGCTTTATTTACCAAAAATATACTTGTCTCTAGTATATCTTTTAGTAAACAATTGCTAACATTTGCTTCAATCTAAGATATTATTAATAGCAAAATAACTTACGCAGGTTCATAGTTACAGATAAATATTGAAGTAGAAGCTTCTCCAAGGTTAGGGCAAATTTTAATTGCACAACCAACTTTATATGAACTGGCCCAAACTACCTGTAAGGAAATAAATTTCAAAATAAAATATGCAAAAACAATTATATGCAAATAGTGTATTATGAGAATAGCCCTAATCTTTGTCAGACTACAAAAAAAAAGATACACATAAATATTTTGGCCCATTTTTTCTAATTTATAATATTTAGCTCTAAATGACTATGTTGTTAAGGCTACTTTCGTGAGGGCTACCTTTTTTTTCTCTCACAAATTATCCTCTTATATCAAAAGAATAATGCAACACATAGCCCAAATTATAATTTCTTCTACATGATTTAGGAAATGCATTTTAATTCATTCCATTGGTGTAACATGCAAACAATATTCAAATAAGACTATAAATTTTTTTTGACAGGCAGAGTTAGACAGTGAGAGAGAGAGAGACAGACAGAAAGGTCTTCCTTTTCTGTTGGTTCACCCCCCAAATGGCTGCCATGGCTGGCGCTGCACCCATCTGAAGCCAGGAGCCAGGTGCTTCCTCTTGGTCTCCCATGCAGATGCAGGGCCCAAGCACTTCGGCCATCCTCCACTGCCTTCCTGGGCCACAGCAGAGAGCTGGACTGGAAGAGGAGCAACCGGGACAGAATTAGGCACCCCAACTGGGACTAGAACCCCGGGGTGCTGGCGCCACAGGCGGAGGATTAGCCTAGTGAGCCGCGGCGCTGGCCAAATAAGATATAAATTAAAGTGATAATTCACTTTTGTTTTTCTCAGAAATATTCTAGTAAATGATTACACTTTTAATTTTACACTTTCAGCCATGTTATTACCTTTGTTACATCCTAAGACAAATAGGGATTAAGGAGTTCATTGAAAAATTGTGTCCCAAAAGATTTAAATTAATATTTTCCCCTCTAATTTTAAGGAATAACAAAGTTATTAAAGAATATTGGCATGGAAAGTCATCATTATGAGAGAGAAAGAGGTGAAGAGAATCACCAGTACTTTGTAACAATGAGACAATGGAATTTTTCTTCATCCTCCAAGTGAAAAAGAAGGAAAATATTAATATACTGCATGTGGAAAACAAAATAATCCTAGGAAGATTGATACAGAATAGATTTTGACAGCACAAATGAGTTTTCTGAGTTCCATTTACTTGACAATTTCATTACTAAAACAAACTAGCCTATTTAATAAAATAATGTATTAATTGATTCTTGTTATGTTTTTGATATAACTAGAATCAATAGTTTCAGCAACTATATTTCAAAGGTTCTTTATCTGCTTGAGCAATAGCACAATAAAATAAAACACAGAGAACTGAGAATTAGGAGATCAATTTTGCTCACAATCTTTGGGCAAGCAGAATAACTTGGAACTAGTTTTTTATTTAGTAAAACTAGATTTAGCTAGATAAGTAAAAGATCCCTTTTCTTTTGATGTTTATAAAAGTTAATAAGCTTTACATCTCAAATACATATATTTTTAAGAAACCATGGTTTAAAAATAGGTTCCTAAATGAAATTTTATTTGCTCAATGAATGTAAATTGTGATTTTTTTTTTAGATTTGGAAATAGTAAAAATAAATATTGACTATGTATAGGTTCAAAATGTACCATTTCATTGAAAGAACAAGATACACTATTAGTATTTCTCCTTGATGTAAGGAGAAAATTTACAAATATGTGTAATTAATTTTTCAAAAAAGATTTATTTATTTGAAAGGCAGAGTTACAGAGAAGCAGTGACAGAAACAGAGAGAGAGAGAGAGAGAAAGAAAGAAAGAGAGAGGTCTTTCATATGCTGGTTCCCTCCCCAAATGGCCACAATGGCCAGAGCTGGGCCACGCCAAAGCCAGGAGCCAGGAGCTTCATCCTGGTGTCCCACATGTGTGCAGGGGCCCAAGAACTTAGGCCATCTTCTACTGTTTTGCTAGGCCATAGCAGAGTGCTGAATCAGAAATAGAGCAGTCAGGACTCGAACCTGCACCCATATGGGATGCTGGCACTGCAGGCAGTGGCTTTATCCTCTCCACAGCACTGGCCCCAAGAATACACATTCTTTTCATCAGTGCATGAAACATTTCCTAGGATACACCATATACTAAGCCATAAAACAAATCAAACAAATTCAAAAATGAAATTCTATCATGTATCTTTTCTGACAACAATGAAATAAAGCTGGAAATTAACAAGGAAAGAACCTCTAGAAAATATACAAGCACATGGAGACTGAACCACATGCTCCTGAATGAAAAATGGGTTTAGAAGAGATCAAAACATTAAAACAAATTGAAATGAAATGTATGGGATATGGCCAAAAAACAGTTCAGAGGAAAGTTTCTAGCAATAATTGCCTACATAAAAAATTGGAAGGATATCAGATAAAGAATCCAACAATGCCTATCAACTACCTAGAAGAACAAGAACAAAGCAAACCAAAATTATTAGAAATAAAGGTGTTGTACATTGAGATTTAATGCTATAACTAGTACTCAAACCGTATTTTTCACTTTATGTTTCTGTGTGGGAGCAAACCGTTGAAATCTTTACTTAATATATGCTAAACTGATCTTCTGTATATAAAGAGAATTGAAAATGAATCTTGATGTGAATGGAAGGGGAGAGGGAGTGGGAAAGGGGAGGGTTGCGGGTGGGAGGGACGTTATGGGGGGGGGGAAGCCATTGTAATCCATAAGCCGTACTTTGGAAATTTATATTCATTAAATAAAAGTTAAAAAAAAGAACTAAAGGAACTAAATAATTCAGGAAAAAATGAACAAAACAGAAAATTTTAAAAACTATATAAAAATCTGTGAAATGAAATGTTTGTTTTTTGAAAAATAAATAAATAAAGATGATAAACCACTGGGCCAGCTAACAAAAGAAAAAAAGGGACAAGACAGAAATTAATAAAATCAGAGATGAAAAAGATGTTATAAATGATACAAGAGAAATACAAAAAACATTAAGAATTATTGCAAACAGCCATATGCCAACAAATTGGAAAATCTAAAAGAAATGGACAGATACCTGGATGCATATAATTTACCAAAATGTAGGCACAAATGCATGAGAATCTGAATAGATCAATTACCAAAGCTGAGATTAAATCAGTAATAAACAGCCTGTCAACAAAGAAAAGCCCACTGGATTGCTTCCCTGCTGAATTCTATCTAACTTTTAAGGAAGAACTAATACCAGTTCTTCTTGAACTATTAAAAGCAATTGAAAAGAAGGGGACCCTTCGAAACTCATTATATGAGGCCAAAATTACCTCGTTTAAAAACCAGAGGAAGATACAATATTTAACATAACTATTCATTAGGCCAGTATCTCTAATGAATATAGTAAGAAAATCCTCGAAATATGTTCTAGCAAATCGAATCCAAAAATGCATCTAAAAGATCATCCACCATGACCAAATCAATTTATCCTAGGGATGCACATGGAACCCTGTACTCTCATGTTAATAATGTTATTGTGTCACAATAACAAACACATGGAATCAACCTACATGTACATTAACATGATTGGATGACTAAAATGTGGTATATATACATGATGGAATATCATTCAACCATAAGGAAGAATGGTGTCTTGATATTTGCAACAAAATGGATGGAACTGGAAATCATTACACTAAGTGAAATAAGCCAGTCTCAGAAAGACAAACATCACATTTTCTCTTATTTGTGGAAATTAAATTATAAAATGTAGGGGTCTCACATCATTTGATATATCATTATAAATATGGCTTCATTGAATCATAAATGACAATATGCCCTTCTTTTCCCCATATTATGTTCTTTTCCATGAATCCCTCATTTCTGGATGAATATTTCTGTTTTCAAAAAAAAAGATAATGAAAAAAATGTTGTGGAACATATTTTGAGATTAGTCATTTTCATAGCTTGTGAATCCTATGCAGTTCAAGGCATGTGATTCCCTATTTAGTTGTGCTATAATTAGTTAATTTTTAAAAACAATAAATTTATTCATCCATTAAAGTAACAAAACAAACTAATAAAAATGTAAACCCAATGTACCAAAACCTATGGGAAATAGCAAATTCAGACCAAGAGGGATGTTTATAACAGTTAGGTACCTACACCAAATAAAGAGAAGGTTTTCAAATAAACAACTTAATAGTGCAAGTCAAGAAATTATGAAAGTAAGAAAAAAACAAACCCAAAATTATTAGAAGGAAAGAAACAATAAAGATCAAAGCAGAAATATACAAATGATAGTCTAAAAAATGATGAAAGATCAATGAAATGAAGAGTTAAGTTTTTTTTTGGAAGATAAAATTGACAAAACTTTGGTCAGGCTATCTCTGGAAAAAAGAAAGATTCAAAAAAGTCAAAGATGAAGAAAATATGCTATATTTTTGGTATAGTTCATGTGTTCTGCAAGGGTTCACAAGGGTTGTCGTTAGGTTAGTGGCATTAGGAAGTGGTGGAATAATTTTTTAAAATCTATCTATTGAAAGGCATATTATATTATAGTATTATATATGCATATATGTATATATATATATGTATATGGAGAGAGAGAGAGTGTTTCATCCACTGGTCCACTCCCAAATGGCTGCAACGGCCTAGCCTGGGCCAGTCCAAAGCTAGAAGCCAGGAACTAGTAGCCCCATCTTGTCCTCCCATTATGAGTGGTAGAGGACCAAGCACTTGTGTCATCTTCTGCTGTATTCCACACACAATGGCAGGAATCTGCTTTGGAAGCAGTGCAGCTGGGACTTGAAGTTGTACTGTCATATGGGCTGCTGGCTTCATCAGTGCCAGCTTACAATGCTAAGCCACAATGCCAGCCCTGTGGTGGAAATTTTAAGAGGTGAAGCTAAGGGGCCAGTGCTGTGGTATAGTGGGCCAATCTTCTACCTGTGGTGCCAGAATCTCTTATGGATGCTGGTTCATATCCCAGTTGCTCCTTTTTTGATCCATTTCTGAGCTATGGCCTGGGAAAGCAGTAGAAGATGGCCCATGTGCTTGGTTCCCTTCACCTGCGGGGGAGACCTGGAAGAAGCTCCTGACTTTGGATTGACTCCACTCCAGCCATTGCTGCCATCTGGGGAGTGAACCAGCAGAATGAAGATCTTTCTCTCTATTTCTCGCTCTCTCTGTAACTCTACCTCTCAGATAAATAAATAAAATCTTAAAAAAAAAAAGAGATGGAGCTAAGTGGGAGGATCTTGGGTTATTGAGAGTCATGCCCTTAGAAGAGAGTAAAGTAATTCTTATAAGAGGGTTATTATTTAAGCCTGATCCTTGGCCCACTTATTCTTTGCTTACTTGTTCAAAATGCAGTCACTTGATGTCATACATGCTCCTGCCATTGCAATCCACCATGCTGTGATGCTACTGAGAAGCATTCTAACCAGAACTGGTTAATGTGCATGCCATATCCTTGAACTTCCAAAACTATAACCAAAATAAGTCTCTTTAGCATGTAGGCTATCTCAGGTATTTTTTGTGGTAATAAAAAATGGACTACTTGGACTACTACTCCTTACAGTGATGCAACTGAAATGCAAAGTATTGTTAGGGACTGTTATGAACAACTATATTCCAACATATACCTGGAAGGAGTGGATAAATTTCAGGAGATACACAACGGAATCGGGAAGACATAAGAAATCTAAATGTATCGAAATGTACAAATAACAGGTATAAGGTTGAATTAGTAATAAAATGTCTCTTTATAATGACAGACCAGATTAGTTTCATTGTTCAATTTCATAAAACATCAAGGAAATACTAATAGCAGCTCTTCTCAAACTATTCCAAAAATTGAAAAGGAGGACACTCTGTCAGACTCATTCTGTAAAGTCAGCATTACCCAAATACCAAAACCAGATAAAAACAAAATAAAGACTATAGATCAATATCCCCAATGAACATTGATGCAACAGTTCTCAAAATAGTGTGAAGCCAAATACCAACACGATTACACACTATCTTTCGGTGGGATTTATCACAAAGATTCAAAGATCTCCAAACACAAACAAGCAATCAACCTACTGAAGGACAAAAATCACATGATCATCTCAATGGATGTAGGAAAAAATTCTGTATAACTCAGTAGACTCTCACGATGAAAATCTTCAACAAATTAGGTATAGAAGGAACATACCTCAACACAATAAAGACTACACAAGTACATGACAAAGCCACAGCCAACATTGTGCTAAAAGGGGAAAACCTGAGTGGGGGTCAGCTGTGGTGCAGTGGATTAAGCCGCTACCTGCAGGGCCTATATCCCACATAGGCACCAGTTCAAGACCTGTCTGTTTCACTCCTGACCCATCTTCCTGCTAATGCACTTGGGAAAGCAGTGGAGGATGGCCCAAATCCTTGGGCCCCTGCACCCATGTGGGAGATCTGGGACAAGCTGCTGGCTCCTGGCTTCTGACTGGCCCAGCTACAGCCATCATGGTCATTTGGGGAGTGAACCAGTGGATGAAAGACTTCTCTCTCTCTGCCTCTTCCTATCCCTATCCATAAATCTGCCTTTAAAATGAATAAGTAAATATTAGAAAAATAAAAATAAAAGGTGAAAATATGAAAGTGTTTCCTGTAGACCTTAAACAAAACATGGATGTCCATTTCATCACTCATATATACATTCCCATGTTGAGTGCAGCACAATTCACAATACCCAAGAAATAAAAACAATCTAAGTGTCCATCAACTGATGACCTGATAAATAAAATATGATACATATGCACAATTCAATATTATTCAGCCATAAAATAGATAAAATCATGTCATTGCAACAACATGGATGGAGCTAGAGGACACTATATTAGGTGACATAAGCCAGACACAGAAAACCCCCACATATTTTCAGTCGTTTGTGATGAGAAAGTCATTTGGGATGAGAAAGTATAATAGTAACTAGCAGAGGCTATTTAGTGGATGTGTGAGGGAGGATAGTGAGAGAGTGTGTAATGGATGCTAAAATACAGTTCAAGGAGTGGAGGTAGTCCTTATGTTCTACAGCACAATACAGTAACTGCAGTCTGAGCATTAATTGTGCATTTCAAAATTACTAGAGGAAAAGAACTAACAGGTTCCCAAGAAACAGAAAACATATTTAAGGAGATAAAAATGCTAACTGTGCTGATTTGATAACTACACATTTTATAAATGTGTTGAATTATAATATTGTACCCCAAATATAAGTACAAATATTATATGTAAATAAAACAATGAAAAAAGGTAGTTTGAGAAAACTGCACAATACACACAGAGGAATAATATGAGGATTACAGTAGCTTTCCTGTTGGAAGCAATGTAAATAAGAAAACAGTGGAGCAAGACTTTTAAAGTTCAGAAAATGTCACTACATATAATTCTTTTTCCAGTGGAAGTATCTCCCAAATAAAGCTGAAGCTTCAGAAATCCAAAAGAAATTCAAAGTAAAAATACTTAAAAATTTGTCTTGAAAGGGGCCAGTGCTGTGGCATAGCGGGTAAAGCTGCTGCCTGCGGTGCTGGCATCCCATATGGGTGCCAGTTCGAGTCCTGGCTGCTTCATTTCTGCTCCAGCTCTCTGCTAAAGCCTGAGAAAGCAGTAAAAAATGGCCCAAGTCCTTGGGCCTCTGCACCCACCTAGGAAACCAGGAAGAAGCTCCTGGTTTCTGGCTTCAGACCAGCCCAGCTCCGGACATTGTGGCCATTTGGGGAATGAATCAGAGGGTAGAAGACCGCTCTCTCTCTCTGCCTCTGCCTTTCTGTAACTCTGCCTTTCAAATAAATAATAATAAATAAATCTTTAAAAATTTTCTTGAAACTGAGGTGTGCACAAATAAGGACTAATTTGTAAGATCTGAAATTCTTACCTGTGTGTAATGGCCACAAACTTTAGAACATGATAGAGTATCATAATCATAAAACTCTGTTTCATTATACCAAGCAACAATAGCATCCCTTGGTGAAAATATTTTTAATAGACCTAACCAGATATTTTCTCCAATAAATTGATAATCTTCACTGCAATCAAATGGCATTTGTAAACAGGTGTTATGTTTAAATTGGCATGTGTCTGCCCATCCTTTGGCTATCTTTGCCAAGCCTTCTTCCCAAATCTGAAAGATAAAAATAATTTAATATTGCATGTTTATTTACATTAAATTATTCCTATGATTGTAATAAATTTTGTTTGGAATTATTACTAAAATAAAATATAGCTTTTCTTTCTTGTTTACAATATTCACAGTCATTTCTTTTTAGTTCTATTTTTGTAGCACTTATATAATTCTTATTCAATGACAGTCAACTTTGTATTTCCAGTATGTATCAGGTGTCCTGATTTTTGAGACATTCAACAAATAAGTATGAATGTGACTAAAATAAGTCAGACTTCAAATCCTAGTAACTCACGAGGTCATGCATATTTATCATAAGGATGAATATCCATTGATTATAAAAATGGGAAAAACTAGGAATTAGAAGGAGTTTCCTTAATTTGGTCAGGAATATCCCCCAAAAAACACTCTGAAACATGCATCAATATATAATAGTGGAACAGTGAAATTTTTCCCCAAGATTGGGAATGAACCAAGATGTTTGCCCTCATTATTCCTATTTATCCTTGTGCTATAGGGTAGATAGCATAATGAAATATATAAGATGTAAATATATGAGTTATAAAATGTGTAATAATTGGTATGTTTCTAACTCTACCATTTGGGGCAAGTCAGCTTGAGCATGTCCCAAATTATACATCTCTTCCCTCTCTTATTCCCACTCTTACGTTTAACAGGGATCACATTTCAGTTAACTTTCAACACTTAAGAATAACTGTGTATTAATTACAGAATTAAACCAGTCATATTAAGTAGAACAGACAAAACATACCAGGGGATTAGTAACATACCAGGGGATTCCAATTCAATCCCATCAAGGTGGCATGTACCAATGCCATCTCACTAGTCCAAGTGATCAATTTCTGTTCACAATTGATCATAATGAAAGGACTAAGAGTCAAAGGGAGCACATAAACAAGTCTAGTACCTGCTAACACTAACCGATAGAATAAATAAAGGGGAGAGTGATCCAACATGGGAAGTGAGATACTCAGCAGACTCATAGAATGGCAGATGTCCTAAATAGCACTCTGGCCTCAGAATCAGCCCTAAAGGCATTCGGATCTGGCTGAAAAGCCCATGAGAGTATTTCAGGCATGGAAAGCCAAGACATTCTGGCAAAAGATCTCTGTGAGTGAGATCCCAGTGGAAAGAACAGGTCATCAAAGAAGGAGGTACCTTTCTCTGAAGGGAGGAGAGAACCTCCACTTTGACTATGACCTTGTCTAAACCAGATAAGAGTTGGAGAACTCAGAGGGCTTCCATAGCCTTGGAAACTCATGACTGGAGCATAGGGAGATTACTGATGCCATAGACAGGAGTGTCAATTGGTAAAGTCAGCAAAAGGAGTCACTGTGCACTTACTCCTCATGTAGGATCTCTGTCCTTAATGTGCTATACATTGAGACTTAATGCTATAACGAGTACTCAAACAGTATATTTCACTTTGTGTTTTTTTTTTTTTTTTTTTGACAGGCAGAGTGGACAGTGAGAGAGAGAGACAGAGAGAGAAAGGTCTTCCTTTTGCCGTTGGTTCACCCTCCAATGGCCGCCGCTGCAGCCGGCGCACCGCGCTGATCCTGGCAGGAGCCAGGAGCCAGGTGCTTTTCCTGGTCTCCCATGGGGTGCAGGGCCCAAGCACCTGGGCCATCCTCCACTGCACTCCCTGGCCATAGCAGAGAGCTGGCCTGGAAGAGGGGCAACCGGGACAGAATCCGGCGCCCCAACCGGGACTAGAACCCGGTGTGCCGGCGCCGCAAGGTGGAGGATTAGCCTATTGAGCCACGGCGCCGGCTCTTCACTTTGTGTTTCTATGGGGGTGCAAACTGTTGAAATCTTTACTTAATGCATACTAAACTGATCTTCTGTAAAAAAAAAAAAAAGAATTATCATCCCACTGACTCCTCACTGGATAACATGACAATAGCTGATCTGATTCATCATCATTTAAA